GAGTGGGGGCGTGGAGGCTGGTGGAGGCTGGTGTAGCCAGGCCTGGTGCATGTTTATGATTTTGACAACAAAACGGCAACGAATCCAACGAGCATCAAGGTGAAATGGCAAGGGATGGGGCCAACCCCCAACCCCCGTTTTGGGCACGGAGCTGGCACTGCCATGTGACAAACAATTTGCCTACGCCCAATGTTTCCCCCTCCCCCTACCCATCCACTCTCTCTTCGCCGTGTGCCTCCTGCCACGCCTGTCCCTTGCGGCCTACCAGCCACGTCAACGCGGCCATGTGTCTGTGTCTGTGCCTATGACTGTCACTGTGTGTGTCTGTGTGTGTGTGTGGATGTGGGTGCCCATCCCACTCTCTCTCTTTCGCACTCAGTATCCGTGTCGCCTGTCACATTTTTACGCTTCTGCACAACACATCTACACTTTTTGCCCTGCCTGACACACTGCATAAATATGTAAGAGGAAATGTCGGACTAAACGAATATTTGATACCTCCCAGGGACTACTCTCACAGCTCTGACTGGGGGATGGTTGCCTAGCCTATATGCTTCGCAAATTGCAAATCCTATTGCAATCCGCTGACTAGCGAAGCAGCTAAAAAAGATTCTCGCCAAACAATGGCAAAGCGCTGCGCTTTCTCTGCTTTAAGCTATTCGCCCCCTGTTATTACAGGGTATCACACACACACACACCCACACACAGTTTTGTATGCATGCATTTGAAATTTTGAGTGCTGCTTGCGACATGTTCTTGGGCTGTTGTTGTGTTTCCATTGCCGTTTGTCGTTTGTCGTTTGCCGTTGCAGTTGCATTCTTTTTCCCCAGCTTGAATTGTTGACAGGCGTTAAAATTTGACACACACACACACACACACAGGCGTAGTGGCATATGTGTGTGGTGTATGCCATGCCGTATCAGTATACATACGTATGTATGTGCGAGAGAGTGCATTGTTTGAATTGCCCGTCGAGGTTAAGCTGTAACATTTAAAGTGTTGTCGGTTCCGCTTGCCGTTTGCCATTTGCCATCGCAGCTGTTGTTCTGTTCTGTTCTGTTCTGGCTGCTCCACCAGCAGATGCTGCAAAATGTTGCAGTTGTTGCAGCTTGTTGGTGTTTAGCTCAAGTGCACTTTGGGTTTTTTTTCTCGCCCTCTTTGGCCCCAGAAGTTGACGTTCCTGTTGTTGTTGCCGCCATCCGCGGACAGGCCAGAGATTTCTATTGCCCTCAAGCCGGCGCCCCCTTGCTTTGAATAATACGAGTATTTTCCCGGAGCACAGCGACCCTCCCTCCCTTTGGCGGAATGTATGAGTATATTCCCTAATCAAGGCATTACATGTTTAGGCCATGTAAGTGTAAAAGGATTGGTGGTGGAAGGTTCACAGTCCAAGAAAGAGAGGGAGAGACAGCGACGGAGATGGAGATGGAGACGTACACACATATCCATCAGAATACATTTGCACGCTGATTGTCGCTTGGCCTAAACTGTCATGGGTCAAGTGGTACTGGCAGTGGTATAGCTACAGCTACAGCTACAGCTCCTCCTGCGGCGACAACTCAACCTCCTTGGCCCCCCCCCCCATACGACCCGCTCTACCCTGTGGCTGACATCATTGTTAGGCCAGTCCGTTTTCATTGTCTAAGCATTTAGGAACTCGGCCCTTCCCTTCGCCTTTCGCCCTTCGTGGCTTACTAGACATTGTGGACCCGCCTTTCACAACCTGGCACAAAGGATCACAGTCACAAAGGACATGCCCAGCTATCTATACATATGTTTGTATGTATGTCAGTATGTATGTAAGTCTCCTACTACCACTGCGTGTGCCATTAGCCATAATGCATACTCCATTATGACAGGGCTTTGTTTGAGCTTTTTGCTCCTCCTTCACCACTTTTTATTTGGTATGTGCAATGTCCTACCGAGAAAAAAAAAGAACGCGAAGAGAAAGAGCGGCAGCCAGCAGGCCTGATTGGACAGGCGTCTCCTGCAACTTGTTGTTTCGGCTACAATGGAGGTCCCGTCCCGTCTCGGCTGTCCTGTCCTGTCCTTCACTTTCAGGTCCACACCAAAGTTAATGACAACTTGAAAAGGAATACTTTAGCCCATGGTAGAGAGAGCTGTGAAGAGAGGGTGTGAGAGAGAGGGCCAGAGAAATGCTCTGACCTGAACTCATGAATGTTTCATCCTGCAGCCATGTGTCCACTGCCCATGCCGCTGCTCTCGTCCACTGCCCATGGCCATGCCCCCTGCTCTTCACTGCCCTGCTCTGTGTTGTGTGTATTGAAATTCCTGTTGCAATTTCAGTTGTCCCCTGACCAGCTATGAATATTTCATGCTCCTCTCACTGGCATTCCAACTGCATAGGATTTTAACACATTGCAGTGGCATTAAACAATCAGGAAATATTAGAGCATGAGCCTGAGCCTGAGCCTGATGATACGAGTCCGTGTGGTATTTGTGGCTGTGGCATTACAAATTCATGACTCTTTCGGCAGGCTCTTAGTAGGCTCTGCACTTCCGAGTGATACAAAATACAAACTCAATCTATAAATCCCCTCATTCTTCAGGAAATTATCACAGCTTTGGCTTGTCTTGAAATTGAATATGCATAAATTAATTATTAATCGGTTTTAGTTGTGCTTCAACTTGAAATGTTTTCTCATTATCAAAGTTTCGCATGATGAAGTGGAAGAGCTTGAAAGTTTCACAAAGTTGTCCGAAGAGAGCGGTGGGGTGGGGCAGGGTGTGGGGTGGGGTAGGCTACGCTTTGCAACCTTTTCTGATACACAAATTGTAATTTCTTATTTGGCCTGCTGCGGAATTGAGGAATTTATCTTTATATTTTTTTTGTACCCCTGCATTGTGTATGGGATGTGTCCATTCCCCCCATTGCCAGTGGTCCCTTCCGTTGGCCATTCACCACCATCCGCCATTCCCCTTGCTGAGGCCGCATTGTTGTGCATTGGGCCACAGCTGGTCGGCCATTAAATCAACAATGGCTGCCTGTACACGTGCTCCTCTAACACACTCTCCCTCTCTCTGTGTTGTGTGTGTGTGTGTGTGTGTGGGATGGTATGTTTAGCTGTATTAGTTTCTCTTTTGTATGATTTTTCATTTGAGTTAAGACCCCACACCATCAATTCGCCCGTAGCCGTAGCCAGGGAATATCTGTGCGTGCTGCAAGTGAAATTCTCTGCTTATTGTTATTGCCCGGGGAACATGAACGTGGGATGGCATGGCAAGGAGGAAATGAGGAAAAGGGCACACAGGACACGCAGCAATCGAGAGTTGTTGATTGTTGCATATTACTCACGGCTGGAAAGTTCAAAGGGTCAGAGAGCATCGCATTCCATCCTATCCCATCCCATCCCATCCCAATGACCAGTCGAGCAGAGTTGATGCTGAGCAAACGGAGTACTCTTGGAATTGCTTTCAGTCGTAGATTCCTCATACGCACATACTTGCATATATATATATATGTATATGTACATATGTACATATTTCATTTACTTTTCTTAGAATTAATATTAATTAATATTATATTATTATTATAATTTATTTTTTGCAATGTTTCTGATAGCATTCACGTATCAATGGGCTCGTAAAGCATCCAGTGCTGAAAAGAGTTGAGTACATACATAAACACACACACATGCGTATGTATGTATGTACATACATATGTTAAATAAACTGGGTAATCCGGATAATTTCCAAGCCATCTTGCCTGCTGTCAGCAGTCTGTATGTATATACAGGACTACATAAGAATGCATCAAACGCCTGGGGATTACAAATTCCCCCCCTACCCACCACTTGAGCTCATAAATATTCATGCTCCGGTGAGGTAGCTGTTTAAGTCGAAAATTGTTTTAAGCTTCTTCTGCTGCAACCAGCTCCTGCTGTTGCTCCTCCTCATCCTCCTGCTGATGCTGCTGATGCTGCTGCTGCTGTTTGGTGTCATTCAATATTGATAGTAAATGCCGTAAAGTATTTTACGGAAATTCTTCAACGGCTCCTCCACCTCCTGCTGCTGCTGCCATTGCCATAATGCGGCTGTTGTTGTACTTGTTGTTTTGGCCGTTGCCTTGAGTCTCATGCAAGGATGTGGAAAATTCCAACGAAGTGCGGTCATTTTAATAACGAAAAACATCAGCTCTTTATGCACTCATTGCACCCCCTTGTTGTTCCCTTTGGGTTGTTCTGTTCTGCTCGGTTCTGTTACCAGCTTTAGCTTCTATTTGCTATTGTTGTTGCTCTATCCCTGCCTCTCTTGCTCTCTCTCTCTCTCTCTCTCTCTCTGGCGCTCTTTGTTGTTGCACTTTATGACTTTCGCTGTTGTTGTTAGTCGTGTAAAAGTTTTTCAATATACCAGAGTACTTTTTGTTTTTGCAGCTGCCTTTTGTTTTGCTCTTATTCTGTATGTACCCCAGTGCCTGGGGAATTCCCCCTTCCCCCGCCCCCCACCCGCCAGCCCTAGTGTTTCAGTGTGTGTGTGTGTGTGTGTGTGTGTGTGCATATCACAGTTGGATGGTTTAATTTTAAAATCACACAAAAACAGTTAATTGGGGACGGAACGTGGATGCCAGGCTACGACTACGGGAATCAGCAGTAACCGAAACACGAAATTGTGAGATGTGAATGCGAATATTCGACAGAAATTAATGCAAATATTGTAATTATCTGGTTGGACAATCGAATTACTATTTTACTCTTAGCGGCATTGGCACACACACACGCACAGCACAGCACATGGATTACAAATTAATAAATGCCAGAAGAGAGGCACCTAGGAACCATTTAACACAGACACAGAATCATCAGAACAGAAAGCAGCAGCACATCCATATCATTAGAAGATAATCCCTGGATACTCGTATTTTATTTTGGGGATGGGCTTTCATGGGGGTGACATTTTAGGGGCAGGGTGTGAGGGTTTATTGAGTAACTTTATTGCTGATTTACTCCTTTACTCAATTAAATTGTTTTGCTTCCTTTCAGGGTCAGTGCTCGGCTGGCACACTGCCCATGGCCTGGGTCGATGAGGGACCTGGGCCACCAACGTGTCCGCGTTCCTGCGCCGAACAGCAGCCATTGCCACAGAAACGGACAGCAGCGGCCGGAGAGGGGTCCGTGTCGAAGAGGAGCGTCAGCAGTAACAATAAAGCCAAGTATTTCGTAAACTATAAGACATCCCAGATGCGCTTGGGCCACAGCAATCGAGTGATGTCGCGTGTGCGCAGGGAGCGAGATCGCAGCGATGGGGATCCTCCGGTCACGGACATACCCACTACCACAGAGGCCGACCAGGACGATGAGCTGGAGCTGGAGCTGGGGGAGAGTGCGGCTGCATCCTCCACCATGGCCAGCCCCAGCAGCGATGATGCGGATGCGGCGGCAGCGCCAACGTTGTCCTACAGCCATCTGCATGCCCAGCCGCAGATTCACCTCGACACAGCAGACCAGCAGCAGCAGCAGCAGCCGCAGCAGGGGCACTTGCACGCTGGCGCTGGCGCTGACGCCGAGAATGAGGAGCAACAACAGTGCCTTGATTATCTGGGCGATGCCGCCGAGTCGAGTGCGCAGCATCTGTGTGGCCTGGAGTCGCCCGCGGAGCTGCTGAAGCGTCTGCGGACGCTGCGCCTTCGAAACTGCTGCGAGCGGAGCGTGTTCAGTGCCCTGCACACGCTGGCCCTCAACGCCACCCTCTCGGACAGGGGCGAGTGCGTACGCATTCTCAGCGACCTGCTGGAGGTGGACTCCCTGGCCAATCGCATCACCTGCGAGCTGGCCGAGATCCTCTTCCGCTTCGACTGTCGGCAGGTCTACTCGCTGATCAACCAGTGCGACGACTGCAAGGTGAGTTATCTTTTCAAATTAAATGGGGGGCCGGTGACCTCTCGAACAATGAGTTGGCCTCATCCCCCGCCCTCCATCTCTATAGTCATTCCAGGCCAGGTCAGAAACATTTCCGCACCGCGTGACATTTTTGGTTTCCTCATTAATTATTCAAGTTGGGCCACCAAAAAGGGGAAAAAACACTTAAAGCAGTAATCTGCACTGAGAGAAATTTAAATTCCTTAGCCATACATTTAGAGTGTTCCGATTTGGCCGCAGTGTACTTATTTCAAGTGAAGTTTTGGAGTTCAATTTAAAACCAATCCAAAAATCATCCGCGAAATATCGTCTGTCTTTCGCCCGGTGCACTGGCTCATTGAGAGCTCATTCCGGCTGCGGCCCATAACCACAGCCAGGACTCGCTGGTCCAGGATTTCGCATTTCCGAAGCGTAATTATGAGGCTGCCGGGACAAGGCAGTCGCAGTGGCAGTGGCAGTTTGCGCAAAGGCGGAGACGGAGCAGGAGCAGGAGCAGGCAGAGTGTGAGTGTAGTCCACATTGCGGTTAATTTGTGGCACTTAAGTCTGGCTGCAGCTGTCGCACACTGAGCGCGAGAGGCAGATAGAGCGAGCGAGCGAGAGGGAGAGAGAGAAAGAGATAGGGTTGAGAGCAATTTTGGTTGCATATTTGATGTCTGTTTCATATAATTGGTAATTATTTGTCAAGTGCTGGCCAAAGATTTCTTGCCTTAACCTGAAAACGTGAAAATGGTCGGTGAGGGGGTGGTGAGGCGCTGCGGGTGTGTGGTTTGGTGGCCAGAAACAATGACTACGCTAATGAGGGTCTCTGTACGCAAAGGAAAAACCTTTTGAATACTGAAAAATCTCAGAGAGCAGGACGAGAAGGAGGTGCCGAGGGCATGCTGCAAAAAAAAAAACGAAATGTGAATTGCGCTGATTAACAAAACTTGAGGCAAATGCTAAGCAGACAGCAGCAACAACAACAACAACAACAACGACAACGACGTTTCAGGCCAAAAATACACATGATGTGGGGTGGGGGAGGTGCTGGGTAGATGGAGCGAGGGGTAGGGTAACAGGCAATGGGTAGTTGACTGTGGAAGTGGGTTGGTTGGTTGGTTGGTTGGTTGCAGGTGCCGGGAGCAGCAGACATATATATGTACACACACAAATTTAAATTTAAATTACGCATACGCCTGGTGGCACACATTTAATGCGCTGTGCAGCCACAAAAGCAACAACAACAAGCTGGCAGGGTAGGGCTTTAAACTATACGATAGAGTGAGTGGTGGTGGGTGGTTGGATAGCTATAGCGTAGGATATAGGGTACGCAGAGAGAAAGAGAGAGCAGTCTTAACATGACATTCTAGTTCGAAACATTTCTGGCTCTCTCTCGCTCTCGCTCTCCGCCTGTGTATCCTCTCTTTGGGAATTTCAATTGGAAATCAGGTGAAAGCAGAGAGAGAGCCTGAGATAGAGCAGTTTTTCCAACAGCGGCCAAGCAAAGAGCGGCTCTCTCTCTCTCAGTTTCAGCTGTCAGCAGAGCTCTCCCTCTCACCCTCTCTCTCTCTCTCTCTCCTACATGACTTTGGGGTTTTGGAGATTCTGCAAACTTTTCTGCAGTTTATATAAGTTTCGAAAAGTGTACTGATTCGTTTTCATTTCCGACAAAAATCCACAACATTTATTTAGGGTTATGCAATAGAAAATATGTCTTTTATTCAATTTATGCACAAACTAAAACGAAATTAGCTTAATTTTTTGGGTTTCTGATTTCCAGCCGCAATATATTTCAAATATTTCAATTGCGCGCGCTTCCCTTCTCTCTCCTCTCACCACACTCTCTCTCTCTTGGCCATTCAGCAAGCGGCTTCAGCCTCGGTCTTTGGTTCTCGGGCCGCAAACATATTCCAGCATGAGGCTGCTTCGGCCTGAAACACGTTTTTGCACATGGCCAGCAGACCATGCTGGCACGGACTCCTCGGACAGTGTCAGTGTCAGAATCAGGGCTCGAATCCAAAGATGCCGATCAAGTTGTAGTTGATTTAAATTAATTATGTTGGCCTTTACCACAGATGGTCATCATAACTGGCTCTTAAGACTGCCCCTCGAACATATAAATGCCCGTATATATGTATTTATATGTATGATTCAACTGATATAACCACAACTTTGTCTAATTAGTCACAAAAAGCTTGACATTGTGGCAAACCGCAAAGGGAATCTCACTGTACCGGGAACGGAGAGGGACCCGCACGAGCCTTACCTCAAGCCCACATTTGTCTTGCTTGTGGTCAGAAAATCATTTTGTATGGGGTGGGCACCCGAAATAGGGCTGCTCCAGACCCAAGGCCCTTTTGATGGTCTCATAAATGCGGTCATTCGATTATCTGGGACATATTCAAGTAAATTTCAATCATTTTCATTGCACCACCGCATAGAGAATGGCAGAGGGTTCGCTTTTTGTGGAAATTCATTTCCGAATTGGGCTCCTTTTGGGTTAGATTCTGAGGTAGCTTAACAGTAATTGCATGAAAAGAAACGACTAGAAATTGCTAACAAGAAATAGCAGGTAGAGGTAGGATGAATATAAATTATTCAGAAAAACATGCATGCGAATTGGATATACAGAACACATAGAAGAATACCAGGAATATCATCACCCTTCATATTTCTAGTGCTTTATAGTTGAATGGAATAAATTAAAATTATTTTGAAGTACCTTCAGACTTTATATGTATGTACCTTAGCTGATCAATTCAGCCTATATCAGCCATTATGTATGTGGCTTATATATTAAGGGAAATACGCTAGCAATTAGTCCGGTCTTACATTTATACGCATGTAAGTACGTGTATTTACTCCGTATTAAATTTCAATTTGTGAATCTTCAAACTTCAGTTCCTGTGCGTTGTTGGCCCACAGGCAACGTTTATGCCACGCCTGCTCCCACATGTGTATATATGTATATATTTATACTCATGCCTACATATGTATGTGTGTATGTGAAGCAGTATTAGTAAGTTTTTTGTTTTGTTTTAATACACTTTATTGTGGGCCATAATCTATTCCCATCGAAGATTTCGATTTGATGTGCATAATTTTTGTTTTCCTTTGCCCCGACCCCGACCCCGCCCCCGACAGCTGATAACATTTTTTTTGCTTTGCTTTGACGGCGCGTGTGTTTCATTTACTTCACCCACACCCACACACCCACGCAGTGCTTTAGTGTGTGTAAATTTGCATTTTACATACGCACATATACAGCGACGCACACATAACATATCACATCACATAACCTTACGTCATCGGGTGAGTGAGAGTGGGTGTTATTGGTGGGTTGGCTGGGTTTGTCGTTGAAAGAAAATTGTCAAAAGCGGAAGTAGCGTAATTTCATAAATGATTGATTACACAGACTTTACACGCATTCTCACTTATGTACGTACATACAACACCCACACACAGGCAGACAGGCACACACACACAAGAACACTCTCCTCTCTCATATTTGCTTAGGTGTTTGGGCCATAAACGCTTTGCTGCTGCTGCTGATGCTGCTGCTGCTGCTGTTGTCGACTGGCGACAGCTGACATCAGCGAGCTATATTACACTACAGCGCCGTTTTGTTAGCTCCACATTCCGCCCATCATCATGTCCCAGTCCTTGTTTCTTGTCGCCCTTCCCTCCCCCTGCTACACCGCCATACCACCACGACCCATTCAAATTCTGCGGCTGGACACATGTGCAAGACGACAGCCAGAAACAACACAGAAAAAGCAAAAAAAAGGAAAACTTTCCGGTGTTCCAATAATCTTTTTTGTTCGCTTTCCTTTTTCCCTTTGGTAAGCTCAACTTTTGCGTTAGTTTCCACCTTTTTTTCATTTCTCTTTTCCCTTTTCCTTTATTTTTTCATTTGGTTTGCTTTCATTTTCAATCTAATAATTTATCGACTTTTGTGTGGGTGCTGGCTGGATCTTTCAGATAATCCGCAGAAAGGTGGAAGCATCTGGCGACAGATTCCAGATTGATGGAATCTACTTAGGTTCAAGGGGGCTTAAAGATGGGTTGACTCTCCCCATCCATACATACATACATATGTATGTAAATACATATATTGGATAAGTGTTGTGGTTCAAGTCACAAGCATCGTACCAGAAAAGAAAGGTTGAAAGGATAGATAGATGGATCTAAAAATGTTTCTCAGGCATTTTCAATTGATAGATTGAAACTGATCGCAGGATAAACTTACATATATTTTTCGAAGATGGCAGTTTATGTTCACATATGTATATCTTTCTACTCGTAGTACATGCTTAGCGGCAATCAGTTCCAATCAGTTTCTTTTAAACCAATAGCCGCAAATTGAATATCATGACATGCATTTGTATGTACATACATACATACACCATCCGGACTTGAGCTGGAAAGATCCCAGAGTATTACAACGGAGCACAGATGATGGAATTTGCAATCTATTTGCCTTGGAAAGGAAACTATCGATTCCTAATTGAATCGTTTTCCCTTCCCCAACCCCACCACCACCCTCCACGAACCAACAAACAGACATCATCTGTGTCAGGCTTCAGCTTACTCCCCCCTTTCCCAACTTCAAAGTTTCTCCCTCCCCCCCCCCCCAACACATTCAAGGAAAAACTTTCTCTTCCACCACCCAATAAAAATTCCGTATCCGCTGCGAGGGCGCTTGGTGAAAGTTCCTCTTAAAGCCCGCAAAATGGATGGCGCAATGCAGCGCAAAATTGGCCAATTGGTAGAAGAAGAAGTACTCCATGAACACCATAAAGAACATGGGTGAGGGGGTGGGTAAGGGGGGAAGGGGAAGGAGCAAAAGGAAGAAGTGGTAGAAGAGGCGCTAATGTGACCAAAGGAAGAACAAGAAGCAGCAGTTGGCAAAGTAGCAGCAAACGATTAATCAATAAAACGAAGCCTGATGAGCAGCACACAGACAGTCGGATGGACGGATGGACGGACGAACGGTCGAAC